ATATACAACAATTAGCATATATTTTCATTTTGATGCTCTTCAATATTTAATATCATTATTATCATAATCATTAAGTTCATTGCTTTTGAACTTCCGCTCGCAAGTTGCAAGAGAGAATTAGTGAGAGATTCTTGACAATATTTTAGGTGAATGGCAAATATTGCAATCAAGGCCATGGAAACCTCGAGCGAGAGAGAGAGAGGGAGAGAGAGCATGTGCTTTCTTGTTCTTTATTGTTTTGCTTTTTTGTGCGAATCTTTTTAATTGACGACTGCGCCTGTGACGTTTATTGTGAATTATTCCGCGCATCGTGGGACGCACGGCAGCTGGCCAAAAATAAACCAAACACGTGAACTATGCATGATTTCTACAGATGTTTGGTATGTGTGTGTGTGGTTTTTGTTGTTTGCCAGCTTTGCCTTGCCTTGCCTTGCCGTCTATCAATATTTTCACTTTGTTTTTTATTTATTTTTGGCGCCACTGCCAACTTTCGCGACTGCAGCAGGTCAATTGTCTAATTGTTGTTGGGCAACTAAACGCAATTGCGCCGTTGCTGCTTCGCTCAAGATTCCAACTAAAACCGGTTTCTACTTTGTAGAGATAAGGCGCAATAAACAATAACAACAAACTACAATCTTAACATAGATTGCAACACTTACGCGCCGGCTAGCAAATGTATCAAAGTATCACGATTTTGGGACATAATCGGGTTTTATCTTCCTTGCCCCAGCCACAAAGCGGCTTTGTAAATGTGAAATTTAACTTGGTTAAATTAACGCGCACTTCAAATCCCCGTTAACGAGCAGCGCCTGTAGCTCGACGGCCTCTGAGCCGGCGGGGAGCGGCTTGTATCCCGGCGGCAACGGCCGCTACACCGCAATGGAATTTTTTTTTGGTTTTCGCTCTTTGCTGTTTTGTTTTGCATAAGCAGCAATGATATTGTTGTTGTTGTTGTTGCCTACGGGCCTTCTTATTTTGGCGCTTACAATGGTCAGGGGTTATGCAACTATAACAAATCTCACGGGTTTTCTTATCAAACACACAAAAGAATGTTCACAAAAATAGCGCACTGCGCATCAACAATTAGCACTGTTACAACTAAATTACACTTTAACGTTTATACTGGCCAAATATTGCAAAACTTTACGATACACACGAAATTCATAAATATATTTGTGCTTATATTTTCGGCGAATTCAGAAATTAGAGCGAAGAGTACACGTCTGTTGCGCTGATTTCACAAAGTAGAACTGTAAGCGCTCGGGATGAGCGATGTTTAGATATGTGTTTAACAAGTCTTATCGATAGTTCAGACCGTAGGAGCTTATCGCTATCGATACTTCGATTTTGTTGTCGATACTTGGAATACGATTGTATCAAATGCTTGGTCACACTTCAGTTAAAGCCGCACCAATTTTTCTTTTTGAATTGCAACAATGAAAATATTGTAATAATAAATCTTCTGAATTTCTGTATATTTTAACTTAAGCTGGGCGCACTGTGTACAGTGGTTAACAGCTAGGAGCGCGGCTGATGTTGGTGAAAAAAGCGATACTGATTGTTGAACTGTTACTGAACCTTTGTTTACCTGTTGATTATCGCTAATTAAATGTTGAACTTTCGCCTAGCTGGGAAATTTTAGAAATAAAAATTTTATTTGTTAAGGCGAATTTGTGAAGACTATAATTTCAGTTGAATTTAAGGGAGGTAAATGCAAAAACAGGCTGGCAACGCTGGAATATTGAATTTAAATTTGCGCGCGCATTTACAGGCACGTACCTCGAACGTAGTCCACTTTATTGAATTTTTACTGCTGGCTATTCGGTTTATATAAACATCTAATGCTTTTAATATTTAATGCTTGCCCTTTTTTTGTGACCATATTGTCGCTGCTGTCGTTAAATAAACATGTCCCCAATTGCAAATGAAAATAACTTTAATTGTCAACTGGCATGTCAAGGTCAACATTTTTGGTCGCCTGTCTTTGCCACGTGTGGCACAGTGTCCCCAAAGTGTGCAGCTGTCGGCGCTGTCAATTGGCTTTAAATGAATAATGCAGATAGCATCTGCAAACGAACAATATACATATATGTTATATATAATTTTGTGATTTATTCATATTATGGGCATGTGAAAATTAAACAAAATAGCCCATACGATGCCCCTCTGAACAGTGCGACTCGTTTGACCCTGACATTAACAGGCCTTACCCTTTAGCCGGCTTTAATGTTGCCGTGTGTCGCTGCGGCACAAAACACGTGCCCCACATGCACGTTGTTGACCACACACAGGCGCCGCCACAATGGAGTCGATTGAAACAATGGGCCTAGCAGGTGCCCTTGCCGTTGCCCCCTCCCTTTGCCTCGCACCACGCTACGTATGAGTAATCCGACAACAATTGCCGCTGGCAAAGCTAATTAAAGACTAAACTCCATGACCACGACTACGGCATGACCTTGGTCGCCAAGTCGGCTCTGGCCGCCAGCCGTTTGTCAACTGACGTCCGTTCGGGCCCTGGTGCTAGGCTCAGTCGAAGGATATTCTTGTTTGGCCTGGCCAAATTGTGTGAGTGTGTGTGTGTCTTTTGTAAAAATTGGCAAAGCATTTAATAAGCAAATGCCATACATAAATTCCGGAACACTTTACAGTTGTACGCTCCAAACAACAAAAACTATCTACACTGGAAAAAACGTTACCTACAATTCGGATAAAGGTATTATAACATATCTATGCATGTATAATCTTTGTGTTTAAACGTTTTGTTATTATTTACAGATTGATGATCAACACAAGCTGAAATTTTCACTTTAGTGTAAGCAGGTAAGCTGATGCACAGTTAACACGCGGTTTTATGGTATATTTTCTCTTGTACCAAACTTATTTGGCAGCTTTTCATTTTTTTAAGTGTATAAAAGTTGTACAAATGAAGGACAAGCCCTAGCTGTTAACGCAAATGCCAAACACCTGATAAAAAGCCGTAGCTAGACCCCCCCAACTGCATAATTGTTTTGTTTTATATGTTTAGTTCTTACTTTTTATGGCTAAAGTTTCCTTGGAAATGAGCGCATCGAATAACGATTCGCGTATCTGTTATAACAACCACACCAACACACTCACACACACACGCACACACACAGACACGCACTCACACAGCGATCAACACCAAGCGTGGTGCGAACTGTCAGCAGAAAATTGTTGTGAAATTGGAACTGGAGCGGGAGCGGGAACCAGGAGCGGCAACAAAAGCGTGAGGCGCACTGGCTGGCGTCATTTTTTGTTGTTGTTTTTTTTTTTTTGCGTGCTGTAGGGCTTGCGTGATTCATGATGCATGGCTTGCCAGGCAACTAACTTTGCCAACTCCAATGCAACACCCAGCGTTTTTGGCGCGTCTGTATGTCTGTTTTAATTACTGGAACTGTAACTGTCTGACTGTAGCTTGAACTGTTTTGAATGTCGCCACTTGACGCCAATAAAAATGTCAATTCACGCACACACGCACACCAGAGTAGCGACCTTGAGAAGTAACCCCCCCCCCCCCCAACCCTTCCTCACGCCCTACATCATGGCTTGTGCATTTTAAATGGCCAAAAAATGGCGATTAAACTGATTTTCGGCTTCTTTACAGCTGTGCGGCATAAACAAAACAAATGAGGATGAGCATAGCGGAGTAGAGAGAGAGAGAGAGAGAGACATAGAGAGGGAGCATTAAATAGAGAGCACAGGTAGTGGCGAATTAGTTGAATTGTTAAGGGGGAGCTGTAATGTCTACTTATTCTCTCTCTCTCTTACCGGCGACACGTGCCCGTCGTGATGGCGGCGCTACGTGGCGTATACGTATTGCGCTGACGCCGTGGCCATTTTGGCAAATGTTTTGTGAAAACGCATGCAAAATGTGCGTTGTTATTGTTGCTGTTATTGCTTTTGCTGCCGCTGCCGTTGTTGTTGCTGCTGCTGCTGCTGTTTTGGGGTGTACAGTTGCGCTAAACAGCGCAGCGTGGCCAGCTTGAAAGCAAAAAAGCAAAAACAAAAACGCGAAACTCCCTAACCCAAGTGAAGGAGTCAGACGGCACTTAGAGTTGGCGGGCTGGCTGCTATTGCATGCAGCAACAATGCTGACAAGGCACTCGCTCTCATTTCGCTGAGAGAGATTGGCACAGTGAGTGTGAGAGCGCTAGCAAGAAAGGGAGAGAGAGCGTGAAAGAGAGCAGTTGTAATGCGATGGGCAACATGTGAGCGCAAAAATACAAATACAAATGCAGTCGGCATTTAAATGTGCTGGTAACATGCATAAACAACTCACAGAGCAACGAATATTAAATGCACTTGCACAAATCATGATTTATGTGGGATAGCTATTAATAAATTTGATGCAGACTACTATACTACAGAAGAGAAAGGAAAACGGAAAACAAATGCAAGTTTTGTTTATTTATAATATTATTAAATATTATTATTTAGTATTATTATTAAGTAGTATTAAATACATGTATTTGAAATATTGTAATGCTATTTTATTTGCCTAAATATAATAAAATAAAACCTATTTAATAGTTTAAAAAAAAAAATTCGCCCAAAAAGTATGCAATAGAAATTCTAGCTTGAAAATGATTTGTTGTTTTTGTCAAAGGAAAACTAACTCCCCTTAACTACAACAGAAATCACAAGCGCATAGGTATAAGCCAAAAACTCAGGTAGCCAAAAGACGAATTTCCCATTCACTTTAAGGGATGCACCGTGCGTGGCAAATAGTTCGTCAAAGTCAAACTGTCTCGAGCGAGGGTATCGCAAAACAAATCGCCAGAAAACACGAGATGAGGACGAAAACACAGACGAGAGCCGACAACAACAAGAACAGCAACAAAGATGTCGGCAACACGACGTTGGCGACGTTGCCGACGACGACGACAACGTTGCCACGTTGCAGTGCCGATTCGCAACAGACACGCACACACACATGAATATAGAAACTTGTGGCAACATCTGGTTCTGCTCCTTAGATTCAGAATCAGTTCGTTGTCGTCAGTCAGTCAGATTAGTTCGGTTCTTGCCAATTCCAAACAACTTCCAAAGGCGCAGCACACAAAGCACAGCCCACAACGAATTAGAACGCACTGCAAAAAGGGCAACAGCGAAAAACAACAACAGCAGCAAAGTTTACCAGAAGCGAAGCCCAGGCCCAGAGTTTTAATACAACAGCAATCAAATTAGACTCATTCAATTTCTCTCGGACTGCGTGTGTGTGTGTATGTGCCGCGCGTGTGTGTGTGTCCAAGTGGCGCGTCCTTGGGGCTGGGTCTGGCAGTAAACAAATAACTGAAGCCAAAAAGCAGGCGCCTCACAAGGATACTGTGGCTGGCCAAAGCCAGCACAACTGCAGCAAGAGCAACCAGAACCAGGCCAACAACAACAACATCAACGCAGCAGAAAATCAATTTTCGTGAAAATACATAAATCGCTAACCGAAAACAAGTGAAAACGTTGCTCAGACAGGCAGACAGACACACAAATACCTGCAAAATACCAACTCGCCGCAATACAAACAAAAAAGTCCCTCAGTGTGTGTAGTGTGTGCGTGTGCGTGTGCGTGTGTGGAAGAAGACGAAGTAGACGAAGAAGCGAAGAGCATTACCATCTCCAACTACTGCACGTCCGCAGCCGCCATGCTGGACTAGCACACGCCTGTTGTTGTATCTGCCGAAGATACACACAATACAAATAGAACAGCAACAACAACAACAACAACAACACAGCAGCAGCAGCAGCAGCAGCAACAACAACAACCACAACAAGAACCAACAAAATAATATTGGGCTTGCCTGGCTGGTTAGGCCTGTCTGTGGAGGAGGTGCAACGGGGGCAACAACACACAAGAGTCGCAGCAGCAGCAGCAGCAGTAGCAGAAACAACACAGACTACACAGCTTCAGTACTTCTTGCAAACATACATATAAACACGCATACATACATATATATATATATATATCTTCTCGTAAGCCGTAGCAGCTCTTGCTCTGAGCAGCCTGCCGACATCCTCCATTCATAAAAGGCCTAACCAAACGCCATGAGACATCAGTTAAATACAATTTGCAATCTATAAATATCTAAAAATATATAAATAATATCAAAGCCCCGCACCAGGCAACTAAGGAAATAAACTAAAACAAAATCAAGCACCCAACATTTTTAATACCATCAATTATATAAATAAATAAAGAGCATCTGTGATTCGCATAAAAAAAAATAATTATATAAAAAAACCTATTTTCATACTGCACGTTTTTTCAAAACTAAATAATTCTAAAAAAAAAACACACAAATTTATTTAATAAATTCAATTAAATTAATAAAGACAAACTTTATTATTTGCCATTAACCAAAAAGCACATAAAATATTAAAACTGCGCTCAAATATTAATTAAAACAGCAGGCTTTGGGCTTGGCAAAAACGCAGCAACGCTACAACAACAACAACAACAACAAGAACAGCAGCAGCAGCAACAAATTCATACAAGGTCAACGGATTTAATATTTTTTGTAAGTGCTTTCTTATACATACATTAATTATCTTATTTTTTTCGATATAATTTCTGCATTTCTTTTTAATACACCGCGTATGAGAATGTGCACATGTGCATGTCAATTAAAAAGCACCGATTTCTGTTCGCCCATGAACATATTTCTATATCGAGTGTCTCGAAAAAAAAATAACTTAAAGATTTATGTTGAATTTGGAATACCCTTTAGGTTAATACAGTTTAAATCATTTCTACGAAATATTCATTTCAGCAAAAAATAATTCAATTTAGGCACATCAGAAAAATGAAATATTTATGTTGAATTTGGAATACCCTTTAGGTTCATTCCGCTTAATCCAATTCTAAGAAATATTCTCTTGAGTTGGGAGATCTTTAGATTACTTAGCAAATGATTCGTCTACGTACAGCTCGAACCTTCTGCGCACACAGTTATATAACTATACATTAACTTTACCCGGACCGAAAACTTTTCTTATAACTTTGAAATAATCTAGGAATATAATTATTTATCAATTTTTAAAAAACGTTATAGTTTTATTCATTTGTTTTCTAACAAATTCAATTTTATTTTAACACTCCAACCAAAATCAAAATATATGTATATATAAAAAAAGTTTATTATATTAGTAGCCCACCATTAACCAAATTCAATTAAATTATCCTTAGTGTTACCAAATGGTGACTAATAAGAATATAACCTACTGTTAGGGTATAGAAATGAACGCATCATAGGCAGTGCACAACTGTAATTGGGGCAAAAACAAATTAATTGGCTGGCAAGTGCGACACAAACTGCAGGTCCCAGGAGGAGGGGGGACGGAGGGGCTCAGACTTTGGGTAATGGTAACGGGATGGAACTATCGGCAAAATCGAAATGTATTGCGCCGTGACACCCGCTGGCTGCCGCTGCGAAATGTCAACGGTATTTTTAACGGCTATGTAAACACACACAAAGGCTGTAACATGAACGAACGGTCTGTTCGCAGCGGTGTCTGGTAACAATGCATTAATCCCCCCCCCCCCCCCTCGTCCCACCCGCTCTCTGCCTGCATGGGCTGACATCAGATTAGAAATGCTTTGTATTGATTTTGTGCTAAAAGCCATGTACTCTAATCCGGCTGTCTCAGCCGGATATGCAAGTGCGCAGACACATCTTGTCCAGCTGCTGTCAGCTCAGGTCCAAGGCTGCAAGCACATAAATGAATTATCGTTGGTTCCGTTCACGCTGTGAACCACGCGTCCCTGGTTCATGAAACCAGATCCAGGCTCATGCACTGATTCGTCACAGTTGCCATCAACTTTGAAGTGTTGTTTTAGTTTGAGAGTCAAAAAATGTTCTAATAAAATGTCGCTCGACTCGGATTAAGCTTAATTTAGCTTGTTTTTAACTAGTTCGGTTTGAGGTTCAGTTGAAAGTAAAAACAATTTCGAACCGGTTCAGTTCACAATTGTTTTGCAGCCTCGGTCAGGTCAAAGCTGCAGCTGCGTGGCCATAAATAAATCACATACACACACACTCACTCTCACACACACACACACACTCACACTCACACACACACAGCCCCTCTTGTAGCAACTTGCATAAGTATTCAAGAACACGACTAATACTAATACTAATTTCCACATATCCGCCCGGAGGCATTAGCTCTTACATATTTGCACCATGTTGGGCGTCGCCTCGCTTTGCCTCGCCTCGGCACAAATAGCTGTAATAAATAGCCATAGTAACCCAGTAAAACAACGAACGATATTTGCCGTTAAAGCCAATCAATCACATCATCAATCAGTCGAGTAGTCAACTAGACCAGCATTTCTTTCTTTTTCTCTTGTTAGTCAATCAACAAAAATAACCGAAAAATGTAACAAACAAAAAGCTAAATGTGTTAGCAGGTCGAGTTTATGTCTACATATTTACAAGGCAAACAAATATCAAACGAATTTATCAATTTTCTTAACTTAAATTGAATTCAAGCTCAATATTATTTGGGTAACTCAATATTAAGAGTCCTGTTTGAGCCGTTTTCTCGTATTAGTAGCTGCAGCTTTTAAAGTTTCAGATTCCACAGAATCATAGTGAAAATAATTCGAATTTCAGATTCAGAAGACTAAAAAAGAATTAGAACCGTCGACCTACCAAGTGGGAAAATTCACAATAGACCTGGTGAATATTAAAACAAAACATTATATAAGATCTCAAAACGCGAAACCAAAAAAAAAAAGGAAAAAAAGAAAAGAGATTCGAACCAAATTGGTTCAAACCCGTTGCGCTACCTTCAATTATGCTGCATGTTTTATTGGTAAAATATAATTATTACTAATGTAGTATGTGTATATATCAATATGCTTTCTATATATTATAACTGTATATACTATAAATATACTACTTATTATTATATATCATTATTGTTATTATTCCCTTGAAGGACATTTCGTTCCATCAAAGCCAACTGCTTATTTGTGAAAATAGCTCATTAGAAATGCGATTATAGCAGCTAAAATTGCTTGCAAATTGGCTCAATAACGGATGTCCTCACATACGAGACACGTAATTCTCGGATCTGAAGGGGCGGACAGCGGATGTGGGCCTTATATGTATATTATATTAGCCAAAATGACAGCATCATCATCAAAGTTGTCATCAGCTTTTGCTCGACTTTTTTATTTCGCATATTTGATTTTCATTTTTCTTTCATATTTTGTTTTTTGTAATCCATTCCTTTGGCCTTGAGAGAGGCCAAAACGTGGCCTTCGTGGTGGTAATGTGCTGGGGAGGGGGGCAGGGGGTGCGTCCAAAAATAAAAGCCCATTGCACTTATACTTAGACAACAATTGAGATTTTTTTAAATGTAATCGTATTTGAAGCGGAAATAATGGCATCTGCTTAAACAAGAAACGTAATTGTTGCGTCATTTTCATTAAATATGTTGAAATGAGCGTATGCCTTATATACCCTATATACTCTATCATATCCGACATATTCCTAAAGATTCAAGATATATTCCTAAGATCAAAATGCAGGGTAACTATTAGAAAGTTAACCTTTAAACCAGAGTATTTACTGGAAAAGATTAAAGCAGAGTATCTTTTAGTCGACTGATTAATTTGTACAGTCCATACCCATTACAAAAATGTAAAGTAAAGAAATTAGTTGAAGAGTACAGGGTATTATCTGGTCGAGCACATTCAACTTAAGCAAACTAATACATAATTATTTGAATTCCCATACCCATTAAAATGAGATCAGAGTAAGAACAGTTGAAGGATATAGGGTATTTGCTTATCGAGCATATTTAACTTAAGCAATCTCATACATAATTATTTTTTATACCCCATACCCATTAAAAACAATTGAAGGCTACGGGTTATTCTCTGGTCGAAATGAATTGAAATAGTTGAAGGGTACAGGGTATTTACTGATCGATCATAATCAACTAAAGCACTCTCATACATATTTATTTGTATAGCCCAAACCCAGTAAAAAGAATTGAGAGTAAATGAACTAGTTGAAGTTAAAAAATGTATGTTCCGCAACTGTGTACAGGGTATTTACTGATCGAGCACATTTAACTTAAGCCCAACCGATCATCCTGCTTGAAGAGCGAGCATTCCTTTTAACATTTCTTATATGTATTTCTCTTTTGCAGAAATGGAAATCATTCCTGAAGGTAGACACTTTCGTTTGGTGCATGAATCAGAGCTTTCAGAAATTTTGGTAACTTTAGAGCGCTATCTGCCGGAATCATTAAAGGTATGTCCCGGCCACATAGGTATGGCTGCCACTTGAAATGCACACATAAATATTGGGCGAGAATCGCATGCAGTACTTGACTTGACAGACACGCCCACATCGCAGGTAATTTAAGCAACAATTACCTGTACCAAGGGCCAGCACAACTGCCGGTAGACCGCACAGACATGCAATCCATCTCAGCTGACCTCTTTTCACAGTTAACGCCCGATTCATTTCAATTTTTAATGACCTCGTCCTGCTCCGCCCCAGCTCACGTGCTCAGGCCCTGAGGAAGCAGCTCAGCTGGTAAACTATTCCGTTTCAAGAATTTCTCCCCCATTGAAGTTGGGTGTCGTTTAAAGTTTCGATTTGCTTGCAACATTTTTGGGCTGTGCTTCACACGGCAAGAGCACACTTTTGTTGCCAGAGAGGCGTGTACTATGCTTAAGGCAATTATATGAGGCAATCACAAAGACCTTGCCTATAAAGTCAACAGAAAGCACAAAGACCTTGCCTACAAAAGTCAGCCGTAATCACACGATGTCCAAGTTTCGTCTACCTTTTGGTATAGTTGCACCCAAAAAATCTATTGCCTGACAAAGTTTAGCCTAAACAAATTTTTAATCAAGTGCCTAAAAAGGTTCTGGCATTAGACTTTCAAATTTCGGTAATACTCATTCTTGCATCTTAAATACAATTGGACAAATAGGCATGAAAAGTATTATCTAAACAGAGGTTCAAGTTAGTTTAAAAGACTTTGATCACTTTCTAAAGCAGAAGTCAAATTTAAATTATATATATTATATTTGCTAACTTGCTAGCTGTGCTAACTTTGCAGAAGTTCAAATTAGATTAAAAGACTTTATTCACTTTGGAATATATTCCCAAGCAGAAGTTCAATTTAAATTATATACAATATCTGCTAACTTGCTAGCTTTGCTAACTTTGCTAACTTTTCAGCAGACGCACTTTCGTTCAACTGTCATTCAATTTTGTAAGCAGAGTGTGAGTGTGACCATATATTTATTACACAATGTTAAACGTGTCCGTTTTATGCTGCATTTTGCAGCACTGAAGTTAGCAAAGCTAGCACGAATTTGAAACTAGTGAAAAAATGAAATGTTGCTAATAAAGCTGGCAGCCCATCGAATAAATATTAAAAAAAAAGCGTTGGGAAATGCTTTATCTAAAAATCGTTGCACATATTAATATTTTTTGAAATTTCCTTTTGCAGTTTCATCAAACTATTAAAACGTACCTGAATGATCGTATTTGGGATTTTAAGTTTTATGTTGCTAAAGATTGGCCCGAAAAACCGATAATATTACATTTTCCAGGATGCACGCTTACGGTAAGTACAAACAACTCTTTGTACTTTATAGCAAAATGATCGTTTAGTTAATAACTGATTAATATATTCATATATAGCCGCACAACAATATATACCAAACGTTTGGCATATTTTGTCCATCCGCACAAATCGAACATGTCGATCTGATGCGCACCGAAGATGTACTTATAGATTGGCAGAAGCCATTGTACCTGAACTTTACGCACATCGCTATTATGAATCGCCTGGATGAGTTCTATTCGAAAATTGGTCTAATGGAGCGACTGAGTGGTGATATTTATGTGTGCAACAAGCTGAATACGGAACTGGAGCTGGAGCCGCTGCCAGAGGATGCGGAGATGCGGCTGCTGACATTGGATAATGTCCAGGGCATACACGATCTATATCCGGCCAATGAAATCGAATGCGTCAAATTGTTTGATATACTCGTCCGTGTCCTGCCCGGTTTGGGTATATTCCGCAAGGATACCAACGAGCTGGCCGCCTGGATGGTCCATTCATATTATGGCGCTATGTTTTCGATGCAAACACGTCCAGATTATCGACGCATGGGGTGAGTAATGATCGCAGTTCGGTGTCCAGGGTTGGCCAGACTCTCACATGATCGTATCGAAACTCTGCCTTTTTTCTAGCTATGGCATCCGTCTGGCCAAGGCGTTGACTCAGCTCGTCATCGAGCGCGGCTACACACCCTTTGTTGTCATACGTCCACAGAACGATGCGTCCAGGAATCTATATACAAAGCTGGGCTATGTCAAGGCATACGAGACGTGCCGTGTGCGTATGACACCCGATTGCTATGAGGATAGCACTGTGGGCACCATAAGTAACACATCCTATGCCAAGTTTCCGCCACTACCTCAGGGCGAGTGTGTTGTTCCGTTGCGCAAGCATGTGCCCGGCGAGAGTCAGACTGTCGACGACGAGGGCATCGAGGATATGTTGGCTGAAAAATGTGATATCAGCAACGAAGAGGCTAGAGAGCGTAAGACCACAACTGATGAGGGCATCGGAGAGGATAAGTAGAGTGCGGCTCAAAGAGCTGACATACAGAGAGTTACAGATTGATTGGAGCGTACGTAAAGTTGTAAGCACCTAGACCTAGGCCCCCTATAGGGGTGGGGGAGGGGGGACAGATCTATTGTCGGATGTCGATTGTACTTATTCATATAACAAAATATAGCAAGGCACAAGTGGCGTTAATTTTTTAACAATTATATAAAACAACAAACAACAAACAAACCAAGAGAAAAACAACAACAACAAAAACTAAAATGAATATCTACATAGTATTTACATGCATGTATGTATGTACGAGTATATTTATAGATGGTATATGAAGCTTCCTCACACAAAGCGCAGCGTCTTTTAATACAAAACAAACTAAAATTGCTAAAACGAATGAAGAATATTAGTCGGAAAGGATTTATTTTATATATATATCGAAAACGGAAGAAAGACAACAAAAGCCTAAACGATATTCTGCGTAAAGAACTTAATAGTAATAATAATAATAATAATAATGGTCATGGAACACGCTGTTTATGATGGTCCGATTTTAGAAATGAACAAGAAGAAACTTTTTAATTTTTTGCTATAAATGCTTTTACAAAATGAAATCCAACAATTGTCATGAAAACGGCTCAGTGCGAACAACAGGAGCGTATAAATTTATTATAAACTATTATATAAAAACAAAAAAGTATATATATATATATATTAACTCTATATATCAAATTGTTACAAACAGAAAAACAACTACAACAAACATAAATACTTCTCTCTGGCTCCACGCAAACTTAGAACAGGTAAAAAAAAAACAAATTTTTTCGAGCTAGAAAACGGTTTTGGTACTAAATATTTTATGACGAGGGCTTTCACTTTATCTAAGCTATCTATATATATATATATTTATTTTTTGTCTCAAAACTAATTTTCAACATAGATTTGCCATGGCCCGGGCGAAATATTGCTTTGATTTTGAGAGTATATTATTGTACTTCCTGCGTTTGGACTTATAGGCTTTTTCAAATTTATATATACCCAAACAAAACAAACAAAAACAAAAACCAACAAAAAATATATACATATATTTTATTAATACGAAATTTTATTAAAACTATGCGCAAATGAGTACTCTCAATGATTTCTGCTCCTACATGAAAATATTAAGAAGAAAAACAATATTTTTTATCCAAACTAAAAAAGAAACCAAACACGCCAAAGATGTCTTCTGCTTTATTTTAAGTACTTATTTATGCATAGGTAAAAGAATGGCAATAGGAGTGGAAATGGAATACCCATTGTTAAATGCCAGTTGCCCTTGCCTATTGAAAATCTATTTCCATTCTGAAAACTCAAAATACACGCAAAATCAAATTAAAAACAAAAAAAAAAACAAAACGAAAACGTTATATATTACAACTGCTATAATGAATGTACTCAAATTAAAAAACAAAAAAAAACAAAAACTGAAAGAAGCATATTTAAATAAATACCAATATTGAGACAGCAGAAAGGTTAACAACTTTTTCTTCAGTGTATGCACAGATAAGAAATGCGTTTAGATAACGAGCCAGAGTTGCGCTCAAAGTTGTTGGCTGATTGTTAATGAAATTTACGTGTACAAACACACACAAACACTCACAACTGCGCCAGTTCCAGCCTTGGGTTAATTTAAATAAGTTAACTAGATTTATGGTTTGTATAGTCTAATATAGTATGTATTTCTGTATCTAGAATGTCTGCTCTGGGCACGTGTACATAGTCGTAGTCAAAAACTAGGAATAACTGTTCTCTATTGCTGCTGCTTCGGGTTCGAAGGCTTGCTTAGCTGGTTCTTTAAGTGTGCCGCCACATACTGCCAGTATTTACGGCGTATAACATCATGTTTGCTGGCCATATCAATGCACATGGTGTAGACCTTTTCGGCGCTTTCGTTGTCATTTTGTTGCAACGCCTGCTCCTGGTACAGATCGATGAGAAAAGCTAGCAAATATGGTGAACGATTGCCCGCATCGTACAATCCCTTGCTGAACTCCACCACCTCGGGATGGCTGTTAAGCTGTCCAGTCTCGGTTTGCCGCAGCACTCCCACCAAATAGTTCCACGGGCTTTCATTGTTTTTAATCACACGTATGCGATTCATGGCATACGCGAGCTCCCGTTTGATTACCTCCGGGGTGAAACCTAAATGCTTCAGCACAAAAAATCGCTGATTCCATGCAGAGTTGTTGCGCGGATCCTCGCAAATCAAACGATCGACAAAGTCCAGCTCGTCGTCATAGAGGCTAACGAATGGGAATACAATATTTTTAAAAAGTTTTGCAAAACGTTTCAATAAAGTTGACATACTTGAATGTGCGTATGGCCCATTGGCGATGCTGCCAGGCGTGATAGTTCTTGGCATTGCCATCGTTGTCCAGCGCATTTTGTGTCAATTCCAGCTCCCATTTGGGACAGTTCATCATTCCGACAATGACGCGTCTGTGGTGCCACACCTGATAGTTCTTCGCATTCTGTCCAATTACCTCCTCCAAATAGTCCAGTTCATCCTGTAAGTCAGCTTTCAGTTCGCGCAATATATCCCGCCTGTACTGCCACACCGTATAATTGGCGGGATTCAGACGCAACGCTTCGGTGGTCAGCTCTAAGGCACGCTGAGATTTTTCGCCTTTAGCAATAATGGCGCGCATGTAGTCAAATACCTCACGAACTGAAATTTGTAAGACTCTTTTAATGCTGAACACTTTTATATGTATTTTAGATCCTTACATTTGGGTCGATACGCTATAGACACAACAGGATTGGGCCCATCGTCCTGCGGCAGCGGCGTCACATCTGCCCACTCCTTACGCTCGCTATATGGCACCCACTCGGTGTGCAGATATTCCTCATCAGAACTATCTCCCATTATGCGCTTGCAACTGCACAATTGGGCGGAACACAGTTAAATGGTGGAAAAATCCAGATAATTTTTCGTCAGAATGTTCTCTCATAGACACACACGGGCTTTGAAAATTCAACAGCTGACTCATGTACCATTCACCGTGGTGCGCATCAATTTGCCATTCACTGCGAATGGCAACACTTGCGATAAATTTAAGCTATGGGAAATACCTTTACAGCATATCCCATTAACCGTAAGGCCGAAACAAGAGGCAGTAAGAAAAATACACAAGTTATGCATGACATACTCTTATATTTGTAAACCACATATATCTAAAATTCTATGCATACATTGATGAGATGACTGAGAAAACTCGTTATTCCAAAAAACATTGAATGAGAGTATAGAGGGTAATTTGGTTCAAATGTATATTTGAAATAATTACAGCAATTATGAATGTATTTGTAAAGGTTGGGTTTACAATGAGTGGGGAATTTGTCAAACGTATGTTATTTGAATATATAAACCGTAAAATAATTTTGGATATAGCCAATTTGTTGTGTTTAACATCTATGTATGTACTTATATACAGCTAAATTCATGATCAATCCTTAAAACAGGGGTTCGTTTTCTATCTTAACATCACACTCTATCATGGAACTGTGTGCAAGAAATGCGCTGCCATTCAGTGTGCCGCCCATACTATATTTAGATGTGTCGTTCTCGTGCTCATAGTTCGAAGCCGGTGCTGGGATTAGTTTTGGCAAGGCTGTCGCATGATCTATGTCACGCTGTCCCGGCTGCATATCCTGCTGATTCATCTCCATTAACATTCGACTGACCTCCATACGAAATTTCATATTATTCATACTCGACAGCGTTTTCACGTGTGGCAGCAAGCTAATTAGGAAGTTATAGTCGGGATCATCTTTGGTAGCTGGTTCCAATGGAGGCACTGGCGTCGACTTTATTACGTTAGTCGCGTGACCATTCAGATATGGTCCATCTGTTGACGATGATGTCTTGCGGCGTCGCGTACGTTTTGCCGCCGGTGCTTTGGGCAGCAATGGTGATAACAATCTGGGCGATGATGAGCCATGATGATCGATGTCCGATCTGTTCATGGGAATTGATGCATTCGACATGTTCGATGCGGACATATCAAAGTGTTGTCTATTGATCACTGACATATCCGATCCAGAATCATGACCCTGTGGCTCGGTCGAGTCGCGCTTGAAAATATCACCCATAATTTCAAAATCAAACGAATCATCGTTGTCCACATCAATGATAAAGTCATCCAGCTTGTTTTGCTCATAATCTGCAGCGTCAATGTCTATGTCAAAGGGCACCGGCGAGAAGGGCACCATTTTGTCCGGATCGAATATGTTACGCAGAAATTCCAGGGCTCGAAAGTAGGGCCAGTTTGAATGGTCACTGCGCTTCTGCTGTATCTTGCGTATCTCTGAGCGATAGCTGTCACGCAGTCCTTTGAAGCGCTTCTTGCACACGGGTACTGCATAATTTATTTATAGATTAACAATTAGCTGGCTAATTAGTATAGCACTAATTTCTTGCTCACCTTCCATCTGCATTATGTTCGCCACTTCCTGCCATTGTAACGCGCCAACATCTTTGCGTATGCTCAGCTGCATGGTCGAATCCCATAGAGCGCGACGTTGACCAACTTCCACGATCAGGCGAAAGTTATCCAATTTCATTTTAAATGTTGGATTCAACTCGACTGCGCCTGGGACAGGGGATCCGTGCGAGTTAAGGCAAAAAAAATTTGTATGGCGTGTAAACAAAAATGCGAGTGCTTCAGGGCTGCCAATACACGAAATGCAGCTGAACGAAAACGCTTTGCCGCGACAAACGCTTTGTCCTAAACAAAAACTATCCACTGTTTTAGTTATAATTCATTAAGTTTCGACAAATGTACATAAAAATATTAAAAATAACATAAATCGCGATCTGTTTACAGAAACAAACACGTCCCGAACTCGCACTGCCGCGAGTTTTTTTAAAGCATAAAAAAGCCGGCTGCCAACCCTGGTCAAGCAGCTGCCGTTTCATTCTCGATATACTGTGAATCATATGTTCAGGAAACGGCAAAAACGAAACAGAAACAGAATTGAAAGAAACGAAACTTTAAGTTTTAGCTGTGTGTCCGGCTGTTTGAAATATCATTTATTTAATAACTAAACCAGAACAATGCAACAAAGCGAGGATGTCAAGGATGACGACTTGCCGGCAAATACGCTGGAGCACTTTGCCGAACTGGACCAAGTGCTCGCGCTGATTGACAGCATGAAGCCCATACAGGACAGCGCCTTTGAGCGCGAGTTTGAGCAGTACACGGAGCTGTTGTCCCGCTACCAGGAGCAGCCGCATCTGCTGGATCCACATCTGGAGTTGCTGTTGACGCGCCTGCTAGGCAAAATACGCCAAGCGGATTTGCCGGCCGGCGAACGCGATGCCGCCTTCAAGTATTTGTATATCATTAGCAAGGTGCGCACCTATAAGGTGCTCGTCAAGTTTATGCCGCACGAGCTGAGCGATTTGGAGTTTGTGCTCCAGCTGCTGGGCCAGCAGGATCCCAAGGAGTTCAGCAACTGGGAGACGCGCTACATGCTGTTGCTCTGGATGTCCATACTCGTGTTGAATCCCTTTCACATGGCCCGCCTGGATGCCTATGAACAAGCGGCTCCGGTAACCGCCAACAACTGCGTGCTCAGCAATCATGCCAGCCCACCACAGACTGTTGTCACAGCCATGCCCAAAATGGAGCGTATATTTGAGCTGTGCAAGCTGTACGCCTCCACGAACGACACTTGCAGCAACATGGCCGCCTTTCTGGCGGCCAAGTACTTTGTGCGCACCGACATCAAGGATTTGTATTTGGAGCGCTTTCTCGACTGGATCATTGAGCAGCATCAGGCGGACACATTGCAGGTCAAGTTCGGCCAGCTTGCTGCCGTTGCGGCCATACTGAAGCATGGCAAGCGCGAGGATCTGCTGCCATATGCTGACAAGCTGCTCCAATGGATTGTCGGCTGTCAGTACAAGGATGTCAATGATTTTCTCAAATACAAGTACTATGTAAAGATTGTGCAGCGTCTGGGCCTGGTGCATCTGAAGCCGCGCATTGCCAGCTGGCGCTACAAACGCGGTAACTATTTCCACACCAGGCAAATTCATATTTTAATCACAATTTTCCACTCCATGCACAGGCACACGCTCGCTGGCCACAAATTTGGGCCATCAGTCGAGCGCTGCAGGGGATTCAGTGACAGGTAATATGGAGACCGAAGAGGACGCCGCTGGCGAGGAGATAATTGTGCCCGATTCCATTGAGGAGGTAATTGAGGAGCTGCTGCAAGCCCTGCGCAGCGGTGGCAACGATATACGCTGGAGCGCAGCCAAAGGTCTGGGTCGTGTTACCAATCGCTTGCCCAAGGAGCTGGCCGATGAGGTAATCGGCTCGGTCATCGACATACTCAATCCACTGGAGCCGCATGAGGCCTGGCATGGCGGCTGCCTGGCCATTGCAGAGCTGGCCAAGCGTGGCCTACTCTTGCCCTATCGCCTGCACGAGCTGGTGCCGCTGCTGATGCAGGCGCTCTTCTATGACGAGATGAAGGGCTACATGTCCGTGGGCCAGCACATACGTGATTCCGCCTGCTACATGTGCTGGGCCTTTGCGCGCGCCTACAACCCGGACGATCTGAAGCCGTTTGTGCAGCTGATCTCCTCGGGCCTGCTCACCGTTGCCGTGTTTGACCGCGAGATCAACTGTCGACGTGCTGCGTCTGCCGCTTTCCAGGAGAGCGTCGGACGCCTGGGCAACTTTCCCTACGGCATTGAAATCTCTACCACCACGGACTTCTACTCCGTGGGCATACGCCACAATTCGTATTTGACCATCAGCGACTTTATAGCCCAGTTCGAGGAATATCGCCAGCCACTAATTGATCATCTGGTCCAACGCAAGGTGGGCCACTGGGACTCGGCTATACGTGAACTTACCGCCAAGGCGCTGCACAAGCTCACCTATCGTGCGCCGGAGTATATGGCCGCTGTGGTTATGCCCCAGCTGTTGGCCAAGACCGAAACGATTGATGTGAATGCTCGGCATGGCTGTGTTCTGGCCATGGGCGAGATTACCCTAGCGCTGCGTCAGCTGGAAATGGCGCCGGACTCGAATAACGTCTATCTGTCCAATCAGCGCATTGCCGAGCTAAACGAGCTGGTTAAAACATTCCTGGAGCGCAACTTCTATCGCGGCATGAGCGGCGAGCTCATGAAGTTCTGCACCGCCAGCTTCATACGCAACTGCAGCGTCGCCAAGCTGCCAGTCAACACAGAGTGCCTAGGTCAGTGGTTAGCCAAGCATGTTACGAAACTTAATTCTTATCTGTATGTATATATAACTGGGGGTTCCGACTGACTGACTGCTGAGCAATGCACAGCCCGAGCCGTAAGGGTTTCAAGGTTTTTTACTGAGTTACGTTATTTCCACTCAAATTCGTGGGAAATTGGTGGGAAGTGGTTGTATTAGGCTTTTATTTAAATTAACATCCGATCGAATATAGTTGTATGAAACTTTTTCTATTTGCCATCCGATCAGACCGAACTTATTTTCAAAGATCCTTCCTTTCCTTTGAGAAGTGTTTTACACTTTTTCGCAAAGTCCGCCGATCTTGGTGAAAATGGGATTCTCTCGGAAAAGCCGTCCGGGGTAAGCAAGTAGGAGGTCTAGGGTTGAATGGGAATGTTTAATTTGTGCCCAATCGCTTTTTACTTATTCTATATTATACTCTTCACAGCCAGCTGGCAACAGGTCATCGACATTGGCCTGGTCACCAAGTCCAGCAGCATACGCGACGCAGCTGTGGAGGCTTTTGCGGAGCTGTCAAGCGCCTACTACTGCCTGGAGTCGCGATACGTTGAAAACGAACGCATTATCACGGCGTATCTGAAGGGTGCCGATAACGATCTGGAGGAGCACATGCGCATGGGCTATTTGGCTGCATTGGGTGTGCTGCCGGCCCTGATGTTGCGCCAGCACCTAAACGCCGTCTTGGATAATCTGGTGAAGCATGCGCTGGCACCGCAGGGGTCGTACGATGATCACGAGAATGTGCAGACCTACAGATGGAGCGAGGCGCGCACGCAAAGCGTTCGGGCGCTGAGCAAAGTGGTGCATACCGTTGGCTACGATGCGTCCGTCCAGGATTCCTTTGCAGAGCGCCAACACTTCAATAAAGTAGTCGAGTGCCTGCTGCAAGCGATGGATGAGTACACGCTAGACAATCGCGGCGATATTGGCGCCTGGGTGCGCGAGGCGGCCATGCAGGCGCTCTACGAATTGGCCACACAGTGTCCCAGGGATATGTTAACGCCACAGCAAGTACACCAAATAGTGGTTGGCTTCATGCAGCAGGCGGTGGAGAAAATTGATCGTACACGCGGCCTGGCCGGGCGTCTCTGCTGCAAGCTGATACACGCCCAGCCGGCTATACCACATATACGCGCCCACGGGCGTCTACTCGAGATATTCCCTGGTGATGATAAGTCCGTTCTCTGGCTGTTCGCCGATCACACATTCCCCCTATTTTGTGAGCTGCTCGCTCTGCCTGACTACTCGAAGCGCGTCCTGCTGGGACTGACGGCCAGCATTGGACAGCTCACCGAATCTCTGGTAGAGTATACGACCGTATTTAATTTAAAGTTGAGATCTAGTACCATTATATATTTCAGATCAAATATGCTTCGTCTGCACTTTTCCAATTTCTGCGTTCCAATGTGGATATGGTGCCACGTCTGTGCGCGGAGATTGTGCAGCTCTTCGAAGGGCACCTCTTGAACGAACGCGTCACGTATCCAATGCTCAGTTTCTTGGAAATACTTATCGGCTCGGGCAGCATTGAGGCGGTTTTGCATGATGAATCCAATCCCTTTGCTGAGGACATTTATCGGCTGCTCAATCTGGAGGTTAAGGGCTATAAGAAGCTGTATAAAACCGCAACCAGCATTAGCACCTTCTGTCAGCTGATCCAGGTGCCTAGGCTCAGCAAACGTGTGCTCTCCAAAATGTCAGTATTCCTGGGCCTGCAGCATGTCCATGTGCGCAAGACGGCGGCAACCAAACTATATGAAGCCTTGGCGCTGCACGGCGATGTAACCGAAATACCCGAGGAGAATATGGATGAAATCCTAACCTTGCTATCGGAAACGGACTGGACCTTGCCCCTGGTCGAAGTGCGTCCACTGCGCAATGAGCTTTGCAATCTGATGGGCATTAAGCCACCGGTTAGCGGTGCAACAGCTGCTGCCAACAAGCAAGAAATTGTAGCAGATAAATAGATGAAGTTTAACTAATGTACTTTGACTTAACTGTTTCACAAAATACATAACCATAATATCTTATTATTGCTTAGCACAAAATAAAATAAATGTGGAAATTTGCATTAAATTTAAATTTGAATTTGAAATGTGAAATGAAACACAACTTACGGCAACCCTGGCTGTAGAGTTGCGTGAACTAATTGACAGTGTTAGTAAACACCAGAAAACAGTGGCCAGTTTGTGGTTTATTGTGAATGTGTGTGATGTAAAATTGAAAGTCTTACAAATTTCGCATTTAAAATATATATGTGCTAATACTCAAGTCATATTCTCACTGAGATATAATTCATATACCGACAAAAAACACGAGGTTTTTTTTAACTTACTTAACAATAATAAATACATACACGTTTATACTATTGTTACACAAGAAAAGCCAATAGATTTAAAAATCTTGTTGTTGTTGCCTGACACACTAAACGAATCGGTATTATGAGCATTTGGAGTGTGAGATGTTTGTGTCACAAATTCTGTCGACAGGCGCATATATTAGCCAACAGACGAATCATACCCCCGGCACAGCGACTTCCCCAGGTGGTCAACGGTAAGTGGATGGATGAGCGGGTCATGAACGGGGGGCGCGCATGCATCCATATGGATGAGGTTATGTTCGCTTTGTAACCGGCAAGGATTTTAATTGAAATGTTTTTGGTTTTGCAGGCACCAACCGGCCGGCACACAACAGTTTATATCAAATGGTAAAAAAACGAACGCTCGAGGCACGCACTAAATTACAAGCCAATAAATATCCGAATCACAATGCCTGCATGAAAGTGGCCAAAACCGTGGAATTTGTGCCCGATGTCGACGAGGTTGCTCCATCCACGACCACGACCGTGTCCAATTTGCAAGGCCCCCAAATCAGCTTCACCGCATTGCAAGACCCACAATTTCGAGTGGTAGCCTCCCATTCATCCATTGCATTCAATTCATTTCCTTAATTGACTTTGTTTTCCTCTTATTCATATGTTGTTTTTGATCTCGCTTCGCAGGGCTATGCCGACACCAGACCCAATTCCACAGCCCAGGATGTGCTCAAGTCGTCGCAGTGTGAGAAGCCGCCCGCACTGAAGGTCGATAAACGCGATGAACTGGAGAGCGATCCCTGCGCCGAATTCCATCGCCTGCGTCGCGAGACTAGCATGAGCGGGGGCAGCGGCGAAGGCGGCGACGATGGCAATAAAAAATTCAACGAGGAAAGATTAAGGCAGTTGAAAATCAAATGCATCATTGGCGCCTTGGCGGCCCTGCTGGCAGGTGGCCTGGTATGCTTATATATGGTTTTTATATGGTTTCCCCACAAATTGTAACTGCATTCTTTTTAGATTGCCTGGCTAATGTCGCGTCGCGGCAAGGGCAGTGGCGCCGGCGTCGATGAAACTGCCGACAGTCCCGAGGATGCGCTGAAGCGTGCTAAGATCTCTGGATTAATATCGAGTATGCATAAAGCCAACCCACTACATAGCTTAATATCGAATATTAATAATCTTTAATTTGCGTTTAGCGCCTCGCAGTTCGGATAAAATTCCCCAGCATGTGCCATATTTGATCATTGGTGGCGGCACCGCTGCCTTTTCAGCATTCCGTGCTATCAAATCGAATGATGCACGCGCCAAAGTTCTAATGATCAGCAATGAATATCGCAAGCCATACATGCGACCGCCGCTTTCCAAGGAGCTCTGGTACACGCCCAATCCCAATGAAGATCCCATCAAAGACTATCGCTTCAAGCAGTGGACGGGCTCCGAGCGCAGGTGAGTGCAGCCTCTGTCTATCCTCAAGCTATCAATTCCAACATTGACTTAATTTCCACTCTATTGACAGCTTGTACTTTGAGCCGGAGGAGTTCTTTGTCGATCCCGAGAAGCTTCAAGACAGCGTAAACGGCGGCATAGCCGTCGCTCAAGGTTTCGCCGTGAAGAAAGTTGATGCACACAAACGCATTGTAACATTGAACGACGGCTATCAGATCGGCTACGATGCATGCCTAATTGCAACGGGTTGTGCACCCAAAAATCTGCCTATGTTCCGCGATGCGCCGCCCAGTGTACAGGAGAAGGTAATGGTCTATCGCACGCCCGATGACTTTGATCGTCTGCGCCGCTATGCGCTTCAGAAGCGCTCCATAACCATTGTGGGTAATGGTTTCGTTGGCAGTGAACTGGCCTGCTCTCTGGCCCACTACTCCAAGCAGCATGGGGGCGGCAAGGTGTATCAGGTGTTCCAGGAGAAGGGCAACATGTCCAAGGTGTTGCCTAATTATTTGAGCGATTGGACTACACGGAAAATGGAGGCGCAGGGCGTATGTGTGATACCGGATGCCAGCATAAGGACCGCCACACGGGATGAATCCCAACTGAAACTGGAGCTGAACAATGGCATGTCGCTGCTCTCCGACATTGTGGTCGTCTGTGTGGGCTGCACACCAAATACGGCAATGGCCGGTCCCTCCAAACTGGAGGTGGATCGTAGCCTGGGCGGCTTTGTAGTCAACGCAGAGCTGGAGGCACGTCGCAATCTTTTTGTGGCCGGCGATGCATCCTGTTTCTACGATCCGCTGCTGGGCCGCAGGCGTGTGGAGCATCACGATCATTCGGTCGTCTCCGGACGGCTGGCCGGCGAGAATATGACCGGAGCGAGTAAGTTATCAAATATGTCCCCGCTCTGCTTGAGTAGTATATTAATGTATTTATCGAACTTGTTCTGTAGAAAAACCATATCAGCATCAGAGCATGTTCTGGTCTGATTTGGGTCCCGAAATTGGTTACGAAGGCATTGGCCTGGTGGACTCCTCCCTGCCCACGGTGGGCGTGTTTGCGTTACCCTCCGATTCGGAAAAGCGTGCGGGTAGTCATATAGACGTGCGTTCCGATGCGGGTAGCACAAATGTATTAAAGAAGATTAACGACGGTCCGGATCTCATATGTGATCCGAACGAGGCACCCAATTATGGCAAGGGCGTCATTTTCTATCTGAAGAACGATAAAATTGTTGGCATATTATTGTGGAATCTATTCAATCGCATTGGCCTGGCACGAACGATAATCAATGAGAACAAAGACTATGAGGATCTCAATGAAGTTGCCAAACTGTTCGAGATACACGCGTAGTGGGTGGGGCCTTGAGAACTTGGGACTATTTAATTTACAAGCAATGAATGTAAGTTTAAGTGGACACTGAAGCAATCATCCAGGCGCCCAACGCTTCTTGACTTCAGTTTAATGCATGTATATATATAGAACATATGTATATGTAACCAGCACAGACACAGAAAGGCACAATGCAACATAAATTTAGTGTTAATTTTATTTTTTTGGAATAAATAGTTGTTTTTAGTCACGACCAATTGATTAAACATGCGTTGATCTATTGGCCTTACGACTAACTTAAAACTAAATCCAGTCGAACAAGCTTGCTTTTTAGATTTATCTCAAACATTTTTCAAATTTTCTGTTTTGTTAAGAGAAATGATTATTATTATTATGTTTGTTCATATCTGTTCCATAGTACTTGGTACATAAAACATTAAATCTACCAAGCGTCTTATGAGGATAATGAAATCCACGGCCCATTTTAAACCAAGTGCACAATTTGCTTATCAATATTTAATTGGCACACTGATCAAAAGTATAAATTAAATAATAGAGTAAAATTGTTAATTAGAAAAAAGCGAACAGCTTCAATATATTTCCATAAAAATGTAATTGGAATAAACCAAACTTTAAATTATATCAATATTTCTTGATCGATAGATAAATCTTGTCTGAATGCATCTGAAAATAAGGCCAAAGTTAGGGTTATTTTAAGAAATGGTATTTTACGATATATTTAAAATAGTTACCTTTAGTTACATAGAATTTGAAAATTCTTTTTTACCTGTGCCATAAATGTCTCGTAGTTTTTGCCTGCTGTCAGTGTAATAAGAAGCACAATATATATGTATTTTGGCCGCTGCAGCTGTCGCGGATTAACCAAGGTGACCGCTTATTAGCGGGTCAGGATTAGCGCCAATTGGTAGGTAGTCCAGACATCGCTGCAGCTGCGCTCTGCTGCAGGTAAATCCTACGAGCTTCTATAAAACATGCACGCACAGCTTTGTGGTTCATCAGTTGAAAAACAGACACACAGCAAGATGAAGAGCCACCTGATGAAGATGAAGTTTGACGAGTTGTCCTATACGAACACCTACGGCGCCCTGGAGCTGGAGGCAGCCGCAGCGCTCCTCATGCTGCGCTATCAGTACGATATTAGTGCGGTGGGCGGCACAGGTTGCACTGTGGCACAGACGACACCGCCGCCGCCGCCACCGCCACCAGCAGCCGAAACGGAGAAGAGCACGCCCAAGGAGCAAGTGCGTGCCGTTGTGAATGCCTCGTCGCAGCCGCTCAAGAAGCGTCGCATACCGCCGCATCTGCTGCGTCGCTCCCTGACGCCGGCCAAGGCGACGCCCAGCAATGTCGGCAACGTGACCAAGGCCAAGCTGAAGGCGGTGCCCGCGGCGGCGGCATGCAACAAGGCGCTGCTCAAGTCGTGCCGCAATATGATACGCGAATTCCTGGACAATCAGGAGCTGATTTAAGGAGGACCAAAGAGACTCCCTAGGAGCTTTGCTTTTGCTTTCATCAGTTTTGATTTCATTTATTTATTGCATATATAAATTTGTTTCATTTATTTTTTTTTTTATAATAATATTTTTCAGAATATTATTTTTTATATATATATATTTTTTTATACATATCATATCGAAAGATAAGGTATTTTTCAATTGGAAGAACAGGTATTGTGGCGACACTAAAGTGCTAATTATTAGCTATTGGCGGTGTTTAAACTTAGGCATTACACGAAAGAAAACAAACAAAAATTATATATTAATTATAGTATATATATATATATATATATATAGATGTATATAAGTTTATGTGTACTTAATTAATGCGGCTAGTTAATAATTAATAATTACAGCTTGTATGTAGAATTTGTATGATAATTATAATGCTAAATGTGTGTGTGATTCATAATTAAAGAAGTGCCTACAAAAAAAATCAATTACATTCTGTAAGATCAATGTTTATAAAAAAGAATTTGTTATATGAACACCTTTTGCTTATGCATTAACAATTAAAAACTAAATACAAGTACATCAAAATGTTACGTGTGTGTGTGTGTGTGTGTGTGTGTGTGTGTGGAAGCCAATGTATTATTATAAAATATATGTTTCAATTGCCTGGCCAAAACGTTTAAATGAAAAAAGAAAAGAAAACTGTTGCAGTTTACAAAAAAAAAAAGGAAACGCTCTTCAATTCAGTTTCTTTCGTTTTTCCTCTTTTTTCTTTCAGTTATCACAATTAATTTGTTTTGAAATGAAAATTAATGGCGCGTTTAGAATTTCTGTGTGTATATCTATTAATTATAATTAACAATTTCAAATGCTCTTAATTCATTAATATTATTATTAATTTTTTCTTGTATATATTTTCTAACAATTTTGTTTTCCATGTTACGTGAAACCATTTGTTGAGGCAACATTGTAAAGCTCAAAGGTGACAACACTTACGGGCTAAGGTGTGTGTTGGTGTGTGTGTGTGTGTGTGTGTGTAAATTTAATAATTGTTAAGCTTAGTTGTATTATGTAGAAAAATTGGCACATAACTCTGTAAATCGTTGAAGGCTGCGCTGCGCCGATCCAAAAATGAAGAACTACTTAAGTATAAACAAATTACACATGTGTGTGTGTGTGTGTGTGTGTGGGTGTGTGTGTAGCTTATGCATAGATTTAAATGTTAAAATATGTATTTAAATTAAATATTTAAGGCTGCCTTTTAAAATGACAGACAAAAACTAGGCGCTAATTAACACACACAAAGGGTGTGCCGGTGTGTGTGTGTGTTGGTATGTACAAAAGGTAATGAGAGTGTGTGTGTATATTGTTGTTGTTGTTGTTGTTGCTGTTGGCTGGTCCCAAAGGCAGCTGCATTTATTGCTCAGGTAAAGTTGCGGGTGTGTGTCGGTGTGTGGCTGATTGTCATAGTGCATGTGTGTGTGTGTTGGTGTGGGTGGGTGTGTTGTTGTGCGTGTTGCAGAGCCTAATGCATATGCCTAAATGCCGCCTCCTCGCTGCCATTGCATTCGCTGTCCATGGGCACAGGCTGCGACTGCTGCTCCCGTTCCCTCTCCCGCTCCCGTTCCCGCTCGACTGCATCCATGGGCCTGGGCGAGCCGGTGGCGCTGCTGCTGCTGCCTGGTGCTCCACCAGCAGCTCCCTGCTCTGTTGCCTCCGTCTTTAGCTCCGGCTGGTCGTTGTAGCGTATCAGCTTGATGGTGGTCAGGCCGTCCGCATTGCGTATGAGCCTGCAATAGAGGTCCATAGATGGGATTAGCATGTGCCGCTTGGGAGTTGTAGCTGCTGCTACTTACGGATAGCAATCCTCGTTGTTGTGGCTATTGCTGCCGCTGCTGCTGCTGGCGGCGCTTTTGCTGCTCACGCTCAGATCGGTCGGCTTCAGATCCTCGCCAGCGCTGTCGCCGTTCTCCAGCTTCAGCGGATGAAATTGGAATTTGTCCCCGGGCGCGGAGACGGGCGCACCGGGCGTCAGGCACTGCACTCCCGCCGGCGAGCCGGGCGGCTGTGCAGCTGTGGCAGCTGCCGCGGCCGCCGCATTGGCGGACAGATAGTGAAAGGCGTGCATGAAGAGCGGCGACGTCGGCTGCGGTCCGTACGCGGCGGCCGCGGCCGCTGCAACAGCCGCCGCGGTCGGCAGCGACATGTTGGGCCCGTTTCTCGACGCCGGGCGCTGCGGCGACTGCTGCAGTTGTTGCTGCTGCTGCTGTTGCTGCTGCTGTTGTTGTTGCTGCTGCGTCCAGCTGGGACTGCCGGGCGCCTGGCTGCCCGCCTGATTGGGCGTGCCTGGCGCACCACCGGCAGCGCCTCCACCTGGTCCACCTGGTCCCACCACAGGCGTTGTCGTCTGGCGCAGCTGGGATATGTTCTTGATGTTCTTCAGCTCCGTGGGATTGCGCAGAAACTGATAGCAATGCCGCTCGCCCTGCACCTTGCGCAGGATGTTGACGCGGTAATAGTAGCGCAGGGCGCGCGACATCTTGTCGTAGTTCATCGACAGGTGGTTCTTCTGGATGCCCCACAGCTTGGCCAGCCCGGCGGGATCCACGATCTTGAAGACGCCCGTGTCGCGGCACTTCCAGGCAATCAAATCACTGTACTTCTGGTTGCGGTCGTTCAACAGCTGCTGCAGAAAGTCCCACAGGAGGCGGCCATCTGTGGAAGGAATATCGATTAGTACATGTGGAACAATTGGCAATGGAGCACTTGGTTACATTTGAACATGAAACACGGTTACTTTCATCTTTTAAACTAGTAAATCGTTGCAGAAGACTGTGGAAGCGACGAATTGCAACAAGTGGAACAATTGGAATGGAACACTTATTGACAATTCAAAATTAAACACGTTTACATTCAACTTTAAGCCTATAAAATCAATGCAGACTGTCGAAGAACTGTCCAAGCGACGAATTTTGACAAGTGGAACAATTGGAATGGAACACTTGGTAACATTTGAAAATTAAACACGTTTACTTTCAACTTTTAAACTAGTAAATTGTTGCAGAAAACTGTCGAAGTGACGAATTGCAACAAGCGGAATAATTGGTAATGGAACACTTGGTAACATTTGAAAATTAAACACGATTACTTGCAACTTTTAATCTAGCAAATCAATGCAGATTGTCGAAGAACTGTCTAAGCGACGAATATCGACAAGCGGAACAATTGGCAATGGAACACTTGTATGATTTGAAAATGATACACGTTTACTTTTAACTTTTAAACTAGTAATCAATGCAGACTGGCGAAGAACTGTCTAAGCGACGAATATCGACAAGTGGAACAATTGGAATGGAACAATTGGTAACATTTGAAAATGAAACACGTTTACTTTCATCTTTTAAACTTGTAAATCGTTGTAGAAAACTGTCGAAGGGACGGAATGCGACAAGCGGAACACTTGGCAATGGAACCCACGTCACTCCTTGGATTGCTTTTTAGGCAAGTATATTATCCCAATAAGTTCTCACGTCAAACAAAAATTAATACACACTATTTTCCGTTTGTTTCTATTGCAGTGGAAATGGAACACTATTAATGGGAATTGTTGGTATTGAAACACTTAGTAATGAGAATGCAACGTTACCCCAAGGAGTGGAAATGGAACACTAAGCGAATAGGCTATATGTTGGTAATGGAACACTAAGTTTGCGGGCTTTTATTGAAATAGTTGGCAATGGAACAGCAGGTAAGTAGGAGCCCTTCTTATATGAATGAAATGTTTCCACTGCAAGCGTTCTGTCATCGAATGAATGTGAAAAATCTTGTTTCCCATTTCCATTAAACTTATTCCAAATATTCTATCGATAACACATGCGCTTTCTATCGATAACTAACAATATTCCGATATCAACAAATCGGAAAAATGTGAAAAATCTTGATTCCCATTTCCACTAAACTTATTCCAAATATTCTATCGATAACATATGCCCATAAATCGATAATGTGAAAAATCTAGTTTCCTATTTCATCTAAACTTATTCCAAATATTCTATCGATAACACATGCGCTTTCTATCGATAACTAACAATATTCCGATGTTAACGAAATCGATTGTGATCGAAATGAAGCCAGCTACTCACTTGTATTCGGCTCCGAGTTCTCGGGAAAGAATTCCCGCTTCGCTTTGTACATGTAGCTGGGCGTCGTTGGAGCCGAAATGGAGCCTCCGCCCGGCGCCAACACCGCGCCGCCCGTGTTCTCCAGCGTCAGCTGCTGCTGCTGCTGCTTCGATTGTTGCTGCTGTTGTTGTTGTTGTTGTTGCTGCTGTTGTTGCTGTTGTTGTTGTTGTTGTTGTTGTTGCTGCTGTGACCAGGAGTTGACAAAGCTGTTGGTCAACTGTTGCGTCCAGTTGGGCTTCATGTCCTTGTGTATGGGCGTGCCCGGCGGACTGCCAGCGCTGTAGGAGAGCGGACCCGTTGCCAGAGCATTCGCCTTGCTGCTGTTGTTGTTGCTCGGCTCGGAGTACTCCTCCTCGGAGTCGGAGTGATTGCTGCTGGCACTGCTGATGCCCTTCATGGGCTGGACGCAGCCATTGCTGGCCGTGCTGCTGCCGCTGGAGCTGCCGGCTGCGGCGGCGGCGGAGCTCGTCGTTGCGTTTGTTGTGCCGCCGGCGGCGGCGGCTGCAGCAGCATTGGAGAGGGCAACGCCGCCATTTTGATAGGCCGCCGGCTGGGGCGGACTGCTGGCCTGCGAGTCAACCGAAGGCGGCGGGCTGAGCGTCACGGAATTGGGCGCCATGAAATGATGCGCCGCCATGTGGGCTGCGGCGCTGCTGTTGCTGTGGAAGGGATTGCTGCTCTCGGGCGGCGCATTCAGCGGCGGCCAGGTGGGCGTCGGCGGGTGGCTGTGCGGGGACAGCGGATATCGGCCGGTGGGCGTGACGGGGCTGTTGGGCAAATGCCATTGCATCATGTGCGACTCGATGATGAGCATCTGGAGCACATTGTGCAGGACATCGCCGGCGCCGGGACACCGATGCCCAAAGTCGGCGCGTGTCAGCAGGCACAGGGCCTTGCCGTTCATTTGGAAGAGATCAAAGTCGAGCTTGGGCAGATCGAATTCGCGCACGCAGAAGCGCAGAAAGTCGAGCACATCGTCGCGGCTCCACAGACGCGGATCCGATGGCAGCGACGGCGGCAGCTGGGTCTTCAGCTCCGCCAACTGGCTGGAGGGCGGCGGCGGGCAGCGCCAGATGACATCGCTCCAGATGCTGGGATTGAGCGGATTCAGTGATAGCTGTACTGGAAGCATTTTCATTTTGGACATGCAAAACGCGCTGTGTGTGTTCTAATCGAAGGCAAAGCCACAAGATTAAGATTAATCTGCAAAGATAAAGAAAATGATGTGGCATTAGTTTTAGTTGGTAGCGCGAAAGGATGTGCAAAATCACCCTGTATTTAATTATATACTTAATCACCTTATACATACATATATTCACACACGCGCGAAAGATAGCAGACATTTGCATTCCAAGCAAATCAAATTTCTTCATAAACAAATCAACTCCACAGGCAGCTGAGTGCGGGCGAGCGAGAGAGAGAGGGAGAGAAGATCCGCTAGACGTGAGTCAGAATCAATACGCAACACGCTCACACACACACACACACACACACACACACATGCACGCTCAATTATTGTATTAGCGGCATTTGCTCTCATTATTGCTCTCGCTCTCATACTATACACCCCCGCAGGAAACGATCAGCATAGAACGCATGCGCTACGTGTTTCAAAACAATCGTTTCATTGCACTTCGTGCCAATCACCACAGCATCGATACCAATAACCTTTTATATACAGTGAAAGCACTTCCAATAAACAGCTACTTTGTACATACATACATATATTCCTCTCTTAGCCGGTCAAAATTTTCCAGTGTTTCACAACTCTTTTAAGCGGTCATCTTTCTTAATAGAACGACAGTGGAAGTCCCCTGAAGTGAGCTTTCACTGTATACATATGTAAATACGCATCGAAATCGAGCTTTTTTAATTGAAAATTGCTCAATATGGTAATTGCCATAAATATGTGCGTTGGCGTCGCTGACGCTACTATTCCGGATGTGTACAAAGCAAACACCAACAAGCAAATACACATACATATGTTTGTGTGTACATACATACGTATACAAATCGACAACACATGGAGCAAGGCGCACACATACTTATGCATATCTTTGGCGTGATCAGTCGCTGTAAGATTTCAACATAAACGAATGTATTGATGCCACAGCAGTCAAGGTGGGGGTGTGTGCGGCGGGGAGGTGTGGTGTGCTGTGCTTTACGAAACTTGAAAGCCGTACCCATTTACCCCGGGTCTGGGCCTGGGCCTGGGCTTGCCGGGCATATCACTGCAGCAGCAGCAGCAGACAACGGCGGCGGCAACAGCAAACGGAAGTGCACATTCCATACACAAAACCCGTTTCCAAATCAGCAGCGGCGGAGCAGCAGCGGGTGAAAGACGTTGGCACAACGACGACTAATAAATCCGACAGTGGGTAAAGAGAGCAACAAGCCAATTTTCAAGAAGCAGCTACAGGCGCACCCTGTATTATGGCCGCGCGTTCAGACATTGCCCAGTCGTACACACATATGCACACACATTAAAATTTATCTCATCTCGCTCTGAGCAGCAGCACCGAAACTTCCTCATTCTCCGGGAAGCATTTCAACAAGTGAGTAAAGAAATTTACTTAAGGTACAGCTCGAATGCGTGCAAGCGAGATGCCAGTAGGCCAACTGAGAGAGCGCCTGAGCAATAAATATTGCTTGCATGCTGCTGGTGTTGTTGTTGTTAAGCAAGAAGCAGGAGAAGACAGGCACAGCAGATGAAAAAGATGACGATGATGATGATGTGATGACGATGATCACTGGCCGCACTGTGGGATATACACATGTTTATTTGTATGTACATACATATACTATACATATATGTATTTTTTTATTGTGTACATTTCTTTTACTTAGAGGGGGTCTATTTGTTTTGTTTAAGAGGTGCTGCTGCCCTCTGCTGATTGTGTACACACACACGCACACGCACGCATATGTTTGTATGTATGTATAGGCGATCCTACGTGTTATTTTGGTTGCCGCAACAACATATGGTTTAATTTGACTAAAATAAATTCATATGTATATTGTACTACACACATGTTCGTTCGCTCCGAGAAAAACAACAACAACAGCAATATGTACAAATAAACATTCAACCAGTCGGTGGCACGTAGTAAAATGACAAATGAATGTTCATCATACCAGAAAGCAACAACAGTACAAAGTGAAAGAAGGCAGAAGCAGAACACAAAACGACGCACGCAATGCGAGAAGAATAAGAATATAAATACACGCAAACACATACTCACACATACACTAACATATGTACATCCATGTGTGTATTCTAAATCTCAGTCAGCGAAGATGACAGCAAGCGACGGAGGCGGCGGCGGCGAAGGAGGCGCGGCTTGAAGAACGAACACACAGGCATGAAGGGGCACCAGACAGGGTATAGGGGACGGGGAGCAGGCAGCAGGCACAGGTAGTTAGGTATGCGGATGATGGCGAACCGGTTTCAACGGAAATTACAAACGAAAATTATAAAACGATCAGTTTAGAAAAATGCCAGCAGCAGCGCAGCCGCCGCAGCAGCAGAGATCTCAGAACAACAACAACGACAAAGGCGACAGCAAATAAGAAATGTAAAAGGTAAAACTCGTAGAAAACTGCAGTGCGAAGAGAGAGTGCGAGCGAGAGAGGGGTCCAAAGGAATGTCTGTTTGTGTGTGTGCGTCTGCCTGTGCGTGTGTGTGTGCAAAAGAATTTTTGCTTGTGCAGAGATTTCCGCTTTTAGCGAAATTGTCTGAAGAGCGGCGGCTGTGGCAGCGGGGGGCGGCTTGGTTGGGCGTGGGATCGGAAATGCCAGACAAGAAAATGGGGCCGTTGGAAAAATGGCCAAGGAAACTGAGAAGGCGGCCAGGCGGGCATCCTGTATATAAATTGCTTTCGATAATATATCGATTATTTATTTATTCTTGGTATGTATATATATATCGATTATTTATTTATTCTTGGTATATATATAAATCGATTATTTATTTATTCTTGTTTATAGTTCGATTTAAATGCTCAGTCAGCGACCTTCCTATTTAGCTGGCATCCTGTTTATGAAAGCTATTAATACTACATGGATTCATCTGTAAAGAACTAGTTCCGAACTGAAAGAACAACGTGTTAACTTCAGTTCCACGAAGTAGGGAACTTGGACATAAAATCAAATTGTAAGTTTCAATTCGAATCAATAGCATTCTAGTATTATTATTATTTATATAAAAATCACTTCACGATAGAAATACCAATTGGTACTTTCAAGGAACATACAATCTATATACTAATTAAAATCCCTAGGCAATAAAAATTGATGTAAGATATGGAGGTCAACCACTCTATATTTCCCATAGATTCATCGATTTGGTAATCTTCATTTTCAGAATATCTGTAATTCGATAGATCCAGAGCTATTTAGTTATCTTTCTAGCTAACTAGTCTTAACTGCATTTTCTGCATAACTGTTAATTGCATTGTAAACCTCTCGATCTCTGTCAAGTGCGTGGTTTCTCGAACACTTTTAAGAGGATACTCGGACTCAGACATTTGATCTATCATTGGGCTGACAAGTGGACCCTAGACTAGGCGCAGCGGAGCTCTTTGTGGTGATTCACCAAAGTGCAATCGTGCTGCATGCGTTGCAAGTTAATGAGTAATTTCCGTAGGCACATCCTACCCCCCGCCGCCGACGCCACTGGCTGTGTGCATCAAGTGGCTGTTGCTGCTGCGCAGTAGAAGAACGCGATGAGAAAATAAGAATAAGAAAAATCTGATAACATAAAAAGGCAGAAGCGACAGCCGCCACGGCGCATTAAGATTAACGGCCTGTTCGTATGCACAGCTGCACAGCGACAGAGAGAGAGAGAGAGAGCGAGAGAGAGAATGAGTGAGCGAGGCATGATATCTGCCCTCTCACTCACTCACAGATGCTGGGCTGTTAATGATGGCCGTAGGACCCGAACCGAACCCGAACCCAGGGCGAAGCAGCAGGTAGTCGAGTGCTAAGCAATTGATAGAGGCTCGACGGCGGGGGGCAGGCGAGCGAGCGGAAATGCGTACCTGCGGATGCACTTACATCTTGTAGATACTTCTTGGAAACCCTCCAGCTCCTCCCCTCCTCCGCCGCATGTGTTGCCAGTTGACATTTGATCTCTTTTATGAGCTCTTCTTCTCCTTTTTATCAGCTGCGCACAATTCTCAAGTGCTCTCAGCGACAGCCAAAAGCAACCCTTAAGAAGGATCTGAAGGCTGTCTATTGTGTGGACCCTACATGAAATCCAATGAGCCTAGAGTAACGCACAGTAAATACAAATAAGAAGAAAATTAACCCAGCTAACACGACTATGGGTTACCCTTTAGCTAGGTTCTTTCTATTCTCAGCTGCAGGTTATGAAAACTTTATTCGTTAATAAAATCGGTAACTGTGGTCCGATCGCTATGAAACTGTCAGTCTATTAAGATGACACTCGAATAAGTGCACATATCAAAAATCTAGGTAATTGCCTTAAAAAAAACCTTTAATTTTAAGTCATAATGGGAAAAGGTATCTTATAAGTGTTATAAACCTGATCTGTCAGGGCTGTGGGAGGAGTTATCGATATATATACATATACATTGAACATGAAACCCTTGAACCCTTGAATTTACCCATTATTAATTATTACAGGGTATACCGAGTTGGATGATCGTGTGTCTTGCACGTGTGTCTATTATTATAATATTTTAAATGAACATTGGTTCGCCATATTCCGGCATATCAAATACTCAATTAATAAGCACAAAAATTCAAAACCAAGTCAACGACCTGCTTTGCTTTATAACTGCTCAGAGTAGAGGAAAAAAAAAAAACAATACAAATAAATATCCAGCGCATATATTAAAGAAACAACAACAACAACAACAACTGACACGTAAAGCTCAGAGCCTAACTCCCCCCGAAAACCCGCTTGGTCTTAAACAGAGCCACACACACAGAGATACAGATATATAAAGATATATACAGATATATATGCTATATACAAATAGACGTTGAGCTGATCGTGCATAACAAGCGCGTGAGCGTATGCTATTGCTGAGCATATATAAACCACAAATATACTATATATATAGATATAAGTATATGTAGAGAAGCAGAAAAAGACGCCAATTCCGGGTTCTTCTTCGCGCGATCGCGACAACAACAAGCAAGAAGCAGAGCTTCCCAAACGGTCTACGGTTCAATTT